TCCTGCTCTACTGCCCTCATAAAAAGCTGGAAGAGCAGTATCTTATTTTGCATAGAATTACACTCCAGTCCAATACTCAATCTGTATTTTATTGTATTGTGGTTGTTCATGCATTCCAAAAATCATTTTGGATAGATTATAAATAGAATTGCTAGAAGTTAATTTCAGAGATGTACAATAAATTCTACAAAACCTGAACATTTCACCAAAAAAGCCATTGCACTTAGGAAAAAATAAAGAAAAGTATCGTATGTCAAGATGTCGGGATAGTTTGGAGTCCATTTCAAAGAAGCATCTCTGATGCTATTTGCTAATCAGTTGATTGAAGAGATTAATCCAAAACAGAAGGTTCTTATAAATAAAAAAAACCTTCTACTATTTGGAGTTAATTCTGGGAATCACTTTCATGCTATTTACTAACTAAAACTTTTTCCAATCCTATTACACAATCATCCTCTTAATTCTATTCTACATTTCAAACAGAAGAATCTAATCATATTGACAATGTGATACACCGCCAGAGTTTCCTCTTTGTTTTTATGCAGAGATTGAGTTTTGTTTAATGCAGCATAACTCATGCATTAGTATGAGTTCCAACCTAAACTGCTTTCCCAATGGTTAAATACAGTACCTTTCTTTTCATTGGCAAAGTGTCAGCAAAGCCAGTGATGACAGATAACTTGAGGATTTAACTGAGGCAAAAATAACTAGCAACACAGAAGAAATTGGTCATGTATTTCACCACTACTGAGTAGCTATAAGCCAAACAGGTAACAGCATCAGGGTATTCACTCATTCCAAAGATGAAATACACTGCAAAAGCTAAGAAGCAGCAGTTATTGGGATATTAATGAGTTTCAAACTTTATTTTGTTCTTCTGAGAGGTATTTTTCTGAAAGTAAGGAGCTACAATAAGGAACATGTATTCAAAAGAACTCAGAAAGTAGCTATGTCCAATGCAACAGAGGCAACTAGAAATTATACCTCTTTACACTTTGCCATGTAACAAAAAATACAAGAGCCAAATGACCAAAACATAGCCATTTCTCGCACAGAAACTCTGCCACTGAATCCTTACAAATGAACAGAATCTGCCAAAACAGCTGTTTCCCAGGGCAGACAGCACACTAGCATGAACACTACCATGGGTACACTGCAGGTGATGATCATTGATGCTGAAGATGGAACAACAAAAGCCAGCTGTGCATGTGCACATACACACATACATTTACACACACATATATGTTATCTATTTTTGCCTATATACAACATATTTTATATATGTGTATACAAACACACAACAAGCTCTTCTGCGGGATCAGATGTGTCAGTTTTGTACCCCAGCCTGTGACTATTGGTTAGATTTTTTTCTCCCCCTGAAAACCTTTTCTTCTGATTACCATTTAATAATCAGACAGACATTCTTCACCTCCAAGAACTGTTTTGTGCTAGTGAACACACTAACATAAGCTTCCTCATTTCTAACAGCCCATGCTTCCAGGAATTTGAGGGCAGAACAAGCTGTCTCAGCAGCAATATCAAGTTACAGGGATAGCAAAATAACGTGACAGAGAATTATTGCAATGGGTTTTTTATCTGTGTGATTCTTATTAGCAGTAAATGGAAATGAGCAGTGGTGGTGTGCAATGACTGCTTCAGACTCTTCTACCATTTTTTTTTTCACCCCTATTAAAATTACTGTCTTTGCATAAAAATAAAAACCATCACTCACTTTAGTTGGGCCATTTCCATGAACAGTGATCGGTAACGTGTCATACACTGAATTCCTTGCTCTTACTTTTCCTTCTTCAAATTTCAAAAGGACTTCATCTGCAAATCAACAGAAATCTTACAGTAGTTAACAATTTATAAAGAAAAGCTACCATTTCAGAGTCCTTTAAGTTCTAGCTGATACAATACACCTTGCTGTTGCTATCTCTGTCAATGTTACTGAATTGGAAGATTTTATTTTTTTAACTAGATCTTGAATTCTAAGCTTGTTATGCTCAATACGGTTACATCAAATGCAATTTGCCATCAGGAGCCTTCAGTATTTGAATGAAATCTGCTTTAGAAATAAAACTATGTTTGTGCAACTGCTATTTATAAATAAATCCGATATTTCAGATGTGATCTGACTCTAAAATGTTGACCCGCAATTAGAGGTTAAAGGTAAGAAAGGAAGTTTGCACAGATGCCATTTTTTAAATTTAAATTCATGGTAGTAGAATAAAGGAAATTCTACATTCCACATTCCATCTCATCAAAGTCATTTGCTTAAGAAGATCTAAAATGCAATTTTAATTACAATCTTACTCCTGTAATTAAGTTTCTGAAAGGGATATGGAAAAATGGTTCTTAATTTTGTGTTTATTGCTAACTTCATTTGTTGAAAACTATTTTTCCATTTTAAATCAAATATTTTATCAATAGAAGATATAAATTAATATTAAACCTAGAAGACCTGTAATCAACCTGGTAAGCAGATTTACCCATCCAAATACTTCTTTAAAACAAGCACGTGTTTAGGGAACAGTATTAATGGTTAAGCAAAGAAAGTGTTAGTAACAGCTAGTAAAGCACACAATGTGCAAATCATACACTTACCAATAGCTCCATTTAGGGTCTGGAAAATTGTACATTTGTGGTCCAAAGTAATGTTAAAGCGTTCCTGAAATAAATAAAAATAATAAATTAAAAAATTGACCTGGCAACAAAACACACTGTGTTTCTCAGTCTCAAAAATACAAAAGCCTAATTTTACTATCATATTGGAATATAAAACATCAGTGGTTTTAAAATATGTTCCTAATATTGTATTGTTGTTCCTACTTAGATTCTTATTTAAAGTACTGTGTTTTTAAGTTTTACCATGTTGATCAAAATATGCAGCTTTTAAAACACACTTAAAAATCCTTACACAGATAACACACTCTGCTTCAGCCTTCCAAGTTTTTATTTTATATTCCACAGCACTGGACATTACTATACAGAGAATTTGTGCTAATGTATAATACACTACCCCAAGCTAAAGGCCACGGAGGCTTTGTGAGCCACAGTGCAGTAGTGCCCTGGTCAGAGGTATTTTTTGCCTAGAAGACAAACTGTTTAGACAGCTAATTACATTACTTCTGACTTTGCTGCAGTCAGCTTTAATGTCTCTACACCCTGTCCTTTCAATTGCCTGTCTAGCATCTGACTTAACTTACACAAAATCAAACACAAAGTTCTGGAAAGAACATCATATTAGGAGGAGCTGAGAACTTTGGGTTTGCCTAGTTTGAGAAGGGAGGCTGACAGGTAACCTCACTGAACTCTACAGCTTTCTGAGAAGGGGAAGTGGAGAAGGTGCTAAGCTCTTCTCCCTGAGATCCTGGGATAGGGCGCACGGGAATGGTTCAAAGCCACACAAGGGAGGTGTAGACTGGACATTAGAAAGCATTGCTTTACCAAGAGGGTGGACAAACACTGGAACAGGCTTCCTAGAGAAGGGGTCGATGCCCCAAGACTGTTGAGTGTGTAAGAAGCTTTCGTACCATGACCTTAATTACATGCTTTAACATTTGGTCCCCCCAATTGATGAAGGGGTTGTACTGGATCATTGCAGGTCCCTTTCAACTGAAATATTCTCCTCTATTTCTGTACCTGCATCTGTACCTCAAAATTCGGCAGTATCAGCTTCTAAAAGTCTTTTGGCATCAATACATTGTTAACTTTCCTTACTCCTTTTTCCAGCACCAGGGCCATGCCTCTGTCATCTATCGCGCATCAATGCTGCTACTCAGCAGAGAACTTTGTTAAGCGAGGGCACGGAGAGGTCTTCACAAAAATTTATGATGCAGCTTTATTGAACATATCTGCACAAAAAGCTGGAGTCAGAGGCAGCTGCAGCCAGATCTGAAATGGCAGCAAGCCAAAATATAAAACACTGGCTCAGCAAGTAGTTCAGTGACATCCTGGAAAAATGCCACGTTCTCTGGCCGTCAAACTGCCAAGTACATGGGACCCTCATTGAGATGAATGTGTCCAATCCTATACCTCAGAGCTATTATTTCTAACAACGAAGAGCAACCTGCCTGGATCTGCAGACAGCCTGAAATGATATATCAAGTCATGACCCTTTGGAAGCCTGTTCATCATTCTGACAGTAAGAACCTCCAGAGAACAAACACAACCATCAACATGGCGCTCAGGAATAAAGAGACAGCATTCCTTTTATTTTTAGCTCCTGATGTTTTATGAGGAGAATGCTATTTCAAGCTGAAAGAAATGAGAAAGCAAATCACTACCTACCCTTGCCACTGGGTCAACATAGATTTTGGTGTAAAACAGCTGGTCATCATCATTATCCTGCAGATTCCATTGCTGCACAATACGATTTATATATGGAGCATAACCAATAAATCCTGCAATATCACACACATGTAAGTTATTTCCATAAAAACACACTACTCTGCCAATGCTGTCCAGCCAGTCATCAGGGACTTCATTCTGTTTGGTGCCAGTAAAGGAAAAGTATGGAATTCGTACAACTTGCCTCAAAATCCAGTTTTCTTCCTGTGATATATACCAGTTCTGTTTTAAAGACTTCATAATTAAGGGTTATTTTTATACTAATGCTATTTTAAGGAAAAAATAATAGGAAAAAGAGATCTGTTTAGGATGGTCCTGAGTATGAGATTACAATACTACTATTCCCAAGAAGCCCATCTGTGAGACAAGTTTCATTTTCATAATAACTTCTTGCTGGCAGATAAGCCTGAATCTAATACAGCCAAAACTACAAGGAGAATTCAACTCAAAACAAATACATGCAAAGTTTAAGCCAAAACAAAAAATGGGCAGATAGGTGAGGTAACAAATGGAGGGAAAGGAACAGGGAAACTCCCAAATCTGCACATTGCACAGCACTATGTGCCTAGAAATGCCACACTGTGCTCTGTAGCAGTCAAACCATATTCATGTCAGTGCATTTATTAATCAACTGTAAAATTATTACCAAAGCTGGCATTTAAAGGAGGACCCCATTTAGATTAACAGGAGTAACTCACACTTCTCTTGGAATGAGCTGCCTAAGCCATGCTGAAAGGCTAGGCAGAGCTATCTGCACATCTACACTGTATGCAGAGATCTCCAAGAACGAGGCAGCCAAGTTGGGAAATTCTGTGGCCCAGCTAATGTGTGCCTATGAATAGGACGTACTGCTTTGACTGGACTTGTTTAGAAACAGACTGTTTCTGAAGCAGATTCAATCAGTGGCAATTGGGTCAACCCTGCACAGCATTTCATTGCAAGGCAGTGTTGTTTTCTAGGCTGGTTACTTTATTACCTGCTTTTTACAAGTGACTATCAACAAATACTATGCAAGTTTGAATTAAAACAGTTCTTGAGCATGAAAGAGGATCTACTCAAGTGGGAAGGGAGAGGGGGAGAACAGCAAGTCAAGTCCTCATTTTTTCACTTGGGGAATTCAAGTACAGTTCCACATAAAAAAAAACAAAACAGATAACAGAAGTGAGTCATGTTCAAGTTCAAGAGTTTACTGTGTTCAAGAATCACACTTGCCTCCTGAGTTCAGGAATCGTTTTCCACTCCGGACAACAGGGTACTTGTCAGCTAGCCTTTTATCTGGCCAAATTAGCCCATCTGCTGCAAATACCACTTTATGATTAGTTTCCTGGAATTTCTTTAGCAGTTCCTCAGGACCCCCTGCAAAGATGACATCATAGCTGAAAATGAAAAAAATATATATACACATTATATTACTTCAATTTTAATGTTTCTGTGCTCAAAACAACAAGTTCTTGGACTATTTACCTTTTACAGATCATACAGACAGCCTTTTTATTCTCATTAAATCATGTTTTACTACCATGATCCTACACCAATTCTAGTTTTTCTAGGAGAAAAACTTCAATCAATACTATTTACCTACTTCAGTCTTCACTTCTATTTACATTCTCTTCCTTTTTTTTATTAACCTTCCAAATTTTGGATACTCTTTTTCCTTCCAATTTTTTCTGATTTTTTTTTCTGAAACTGATTTTCACTTTTCATATATTTTAAGTAAAAAATATATTTTCCCCTTTAGAAAGTTGCTCATGTTTAAGAACAACAACAACAAATAAAAATTCAAAGCAAACAAAATTTAAAAAAAAATCAAAACTTAGCAGATGAAATAGAGTATGTTATGATTGAAACATGTCTTTTTAGGATACTCACTGGGAAATTCTAGATGGCCTTGTTCCAAAACACAATGGCACTGACTTTCTTCTGAAAAGTTTTATCAAGAATATACTTATATATTTCTCAATAAAGTCTAGTTGCCCATAAACTTCAACTGTGTTGTACCACAACCATATACAGATTTATCTTTCAGCCTCTTTAATGTGCTGAACACATTGTAAGGCTCTAAAATTCACAAAATCTATTTACTAAAAACTTCACCTGTCTTCATCAGATTTGACTCCCAATTCCAACTAGGGACAAAGACCAAAGGTGGAGGGCTCATTTCTAAAAACAGCAGTTTCCCACAGTCAAAGATCAACAGTAACTCAAAATAAAAAGAAACTTGACAGGTTTGGCAAAGATCATGCAATAAGGTAGTATCACAAGCCTAGTGGTTTTTTGCTGTCAAAATGTCTCTAATCAATGCCTCTAGAAAAAAAAACAACAAGCAAACAAAAAACCACCACCACCCCAACCCTCAAAATCTGTATAAATTATTAAATTACTCAAAATACAAGGTTTCTTTGTTTGCACTTGAGATTTACATATAAAAGCAGTCATGGGCAAACCACTTAAAGGTTAGTTTTATGCTGCTTGAAACCATGACAGTCATACTGGGATCATTCCATAGATTAGTCTCCAGCTGAAGCAGAACATGTGGATTTAATGGCAGCACCTCCGCCTCACAGTGACCTCATCTGAATGCAGGTATATGCTTATTCCACACATCTACCTTAGTAACTGAAAACCATCAGCTCTCATGAATGGTACAGCTAACAAAAATTAAAAGATCTAACCTTGACCAAGATTTTGTTCTTGCAAAGACTTTTATCTGGGCTAAGGACCAGCAGTACCCCCGTCTGCACTACACAGAGCTTTCTGCACTGCAATGTACTACTCATCAATAGTGCTAACAGATCAACCATTACTGCCTTGTGGTACTCCTTTATTACAGTTCTGAAATTATTTGAAAAATCCTTTCCTCAAAGGGGATTTCATGCAATCGGCCTAAGAGAACTGAAAAAGAGCTGGCTTACAAATGCAAAAGAGAAGATTTCCACTGCAAGGCTAAGTATGAACCCTGGAGAGGAAGTATTTTATGTGGTCTATATAAAGTAAGTGAATTTCTGAAAACCCTCACTGTTTTGTTTTTCTGTAACTGGAGAAGAACGTATGAAAAAAAAATATTGTACATTTTGGAGCTTCTCCAGTTTTGCAAAAACTGCCTGATTCTGTCCAAATATACAGGAATACACTTCTCTTCCCTTTTCCATTCAATTGATGTTGCCCAATTCAAAGCCAGAATGAGGCTGAAGAACAAGCAAGAAACAGGAGACAAGTTGAAGACATACAAAAACAGAGATTTGTCTGAGGCTTTAACTTAATAGCTTATGGCAGGCTGCAGGAAGGAACCAAACACCCCTGGATCATTGCTTCCAAGGACTGCCATTCTGAAAAAGAAAGTCAAAGTTGAGCAACATGCTGGGCTAGCCACAGTCAAGGACTTGTGGAAGGGATGTGCTACTTCATACAGCACAGTTTATAACACAAGGCAAAGCTCAGAGCTGCTAAACTGCATTACCACTTATTGTAAACTTTACATACAATGGATATTATGCAGGTGTAAGAATCCTGCATGGACCTACATTTTCCATTAATTTACATGGCCTTCTGCTTTGTCAAGAGGTGACTTACTGCCACCACACCTGCTCCTGGACATGACCTCCACCAGCCTTCCACCCCTTGGTGCCAGTCTCCCCATCAGCTGTTTCACGAGGCTCCTGCTTTTCTCTTCAGGCAACAGGAAAACTTCCAATCAAAACAAAACCTAAAAATCCATAATTTGCCTTGCTTATCTGCTGTGTTAGATCATGTTCAGTCTATCCAGCACTCAAATTCTACTATAAGGGAGGATTCACCCCATGTCTACACCATTAAGACCATGCAAAAATGGCGCCCAGGACTATCTTTGATAGTTTATACTATTCTTATGGCGATGCACGTGACCTACTTTTAAACAGCACTTCAAAATTTGATAGGAAGAAAAAGTGTGGATGTATCCAGGAAGATGTAGGGTGCCTTGGCAAGCTGGAAAAGCTCAGATACACTTTGCTTTACTCTTTATAGAGCCTTCTGATTAAGTACTAAGCAAGAAGAAGAAAAAAAAATAAAAATTCCACAACTCCAGTCCCATTTCCTGAAGCTTCCAGATGGCAGATGCTTGGGGCTGGAATCCACCCATCCCTCCTCCTCTTTTGTAGCAGCAAAGCACCCCAGCTACACACCCACTGCTCCCAGCAACAGAGGGAAATGCCACTGGTGGCTCAGGTCCTCTAGAACTGAACATGCAGTTTTTTGCAACTTTATAAAATATGGTTTTGCAGCTTTTATAACAAGTACTTGTTACTATTGCAGCTGAGGGATAAGAGCTCAAAATACAAACAAGAGAGGACTTACAAGTAACCAACAACTCAGGTCCTCCATTACATCTTGTTTAAGTAGACTGTTCAGCCACACAGCCATACTGTCATTTATACTGTATCCCCTCCAGGATCACACCTTAACCATTGTGAGGTGTGTAGAAAATGTAATTATACCTCAGTTAAAAAAAAACAACAAACACAAAACCAACCAACAAACAAAAAAACCCACAAACAACAAAACAAAACAAAAAAAGAGGCTGCACAAGTCTTCCATGATAAAAACTGGGAGTTCTGGATGACAAGTCACAGCATCAACCATTTTATCCAGCCTACACTGGCCATTAGCCAGTTCAATCTGAAATGATCCAAAGCAAACCAGTAGTAAGCTCTCACAAAAACAAGCCTAATTTAAATAGCGTTCCCCCGGCAGGCACAGCGTTTTGCTATCTGCACCTAGACACAAGCTGTCCACTGAAGTTTAAACTACTTCCAGAATTGTGAGCCATATAAAAAAACCACTCAGAAAAAAAACAACAAAAAAACAAAAAAAGCAAGAAGCTTTTAAGTAAACAGTTCACTAGAAATTATTTTCCTACTTACAGTAAATAAATCAAACATTTCCTTTCCCCCACCCAGATTAATACTAAAAATGCTTCACAATTAGTATAATAAAAAACACTCAAAGAAAGAAACAAAGTTCACTATATTTGTTTTATGCAAACTTACTGCTACTTAAAATGCAAACCAGGATTCCTGGAAATGAAAAAGCTCATTAGAATTAAAACATAATTCTAGAATCAGCAAACTACTTTTTTCTCCGATTTGGAATCAGTTCCACCAGCTTTAAATCAAGATGTACTTGGGATTATGGACCTCAAGAACTTGGGAGGCCTTAAATCCGGTGATTTTTCTTGGCAAGAAAGACTATGGCATCTGCACTCCAACACATATGGTCCTCTGTACTCTCTACTCCATTAAGAGATTAAGATGATTTAGACATTGGTTTTCTAGCTCTATCTTCTACTTAGGATAAGAGGTAAAATTAAAAAGTAAAAGTTTACTCCAGCTTTCCTGAACTCTTAACTTTGCAAAACAACAAATGAACTTTCCAGTAAATACCACTGTCAGACCACTTTCTCTCTTGTGATGATATCTGCTGTACAAATCCTGCTGGACCTCTAACTTGCAAAAGGGCTCTAAAATTCCTCAGCTGTCACTTTTTTTTTTTAATGTATTTATTAAAAAACAAACAAACAAGCAAACAAAAATAGCTTAAAAGCTGAAAGAAAATTCTGGAGCAGACATTCCAATGTGACTCAATAAAAGCAGCATGAACCCACATAAAAAGCTCTCCAAGTTTCCACTCAGCTACCTTCCCAAGACAACTGGGGGCCTCAGGTCCTGGATTTGAGACTTGGTCCTCTACCTTCGTGTGGGGATTCTTTTAGAGCTGTGACTCCACTCTGGGTAATGCTAGTGTGGAAGAAATTGGCAGCTGCTGTTAACTGGATTCTTAGCTGCTCTGATCATGCCCTCATCACAAAAGCAAAAGAGAAGGAGCAGGAGAGAAAAGCAGAGAGAAGTAATGGGAAAAGTGGAATCTGAACATGTTTGAGTTCCCTGTTCTCTGTGAGAGGGAGAAATCTATCTGGCCTCCAGTGAGAATGCTCAAGCATAGCTGTATTATGAGCTATCATCTGGCATCTGCAGCAGCACTCTCTCTCCATACTTCCATCACACAGAGAGCACAGGCACCAGGGGAATATTTAGCACCAAGCCTCTTGTTTCAATTCTCCAACATGTAAAAGAAGTTCTTCTGCAAGTGGTTTTCTCAGGGGCCCATTTTCAAGATTTCTCCATACCCCTGTTACCTCATGGAGCAAGATCACCCTCTGATCCCTACTGGGCACTTCATTTCTGGAGTTGCTTTTGCTCCTCCCCCATTCCACACTCCTCAGCCACGTCCTGCCCTCACCAGAGCCAAACACTGAGGACAAATGTTTGCCTAAAAGCCTGTCAGCTCCCAGTCACGTTTTTTTACCTCATTGAGGCAGCAGAACTATGAACAGCTTTTACATCTGTAAATTAATTTAAAAAGTAATGATTACTCCAAGAGCATCTACTATTTTTATGAATGGAGGAAAACTGGGGCAAAGTCTCACAAATAAACAGTGAGGGGGAAAAGCAGTATGCAGCTTCCAGAATGTCACAGCAGTTCTTTTTGCATGCCTACCCAGACTAAAAAGTAAAGGCAACAAGCCAGGTTTGCTCACCATTCAACAAACATTACAACCAGATCCTCTTGATCAGCATAGCTTTCTATGCCTTCTTTCAGCAGTCGAACTTTCTGCCCTCCACCAATAGAGTTGGGCAGCTCACCACCTTTCCACTCTTCACCTTTTCCAAGTACCTGGAATGACAAAAAAGCACTTTTTGCTAGTACCCAAAACCAAGAGGCTTTTTAAAGCAGACCCTTATTGAAAACAGATGTTAAAGCAGAAGCAACACATTAAAGCATAGCAAGCCAGCACTTCCAGCATCATAAGTTTTCCATGTCTGAAGCAGCATTCAGCACAATGACATCACTGCAGTAACATGAGAGAGACATTTCTTAACCAAAAAAGAATCAAGCAATTGCCTGCTACCACCATTTGTTCAAATGTGTCTCTTTCAGGAAAAAAAAAAAAAAAAAGCTAATTGTTTCAAAATCTATATTAGAAAAACATTCTGAATGAGACTTTTTAAAGTAATATAATCACTTTAAGAACAGGAAGTGTAAGAGACTTTGGTGGATCAGGGTATTACTAATACAAATTGTGAGCTCCAGTCTTTCATAAATCCTTCCAGAACACTTTTGTACAAGGAAAGGATAGGTTCTCCTACATACTGCTGACAGCTAAAATAACTAAACAAAACTCCTCCATAGCCAAGTATGATAGCAAATTACATCTCAAAAAAAATAAAAAACCCTTAAACTTTTGTGGGCTTTGAACATATTTTTGGAACTTATAAAAACTGGAAGAACTACACTGCATGATGCTTTGGACAAATCTGCAAAGCTAATAGATGCATCCAGAGCTTAGGCTTCCAGGTGCTTTAGTACAGCATTATCATATTAGGAAATGTTCTCTCAATCTTCCAAGTTCAGTGGCAGAAGTCAAAATAATTTCCTATTTATGGTGTAGACACTGTGGAAAGTAAGCAAAAAAAAATCCGTAACACCATCCATATTCCTGCATTTTCTCTTGCAGAATCAATCTGTGGGGAAAGTCTAGAAGAAGGTTAATGTCTTCCTTATTTCCCAACATTGCACAGAGGCCAACCTCAGGATTTGACAGAGAGATCTGGAGAAAGGCAGAAGAGGCTGGCAAGAATGACAGAAACTTTATGTCCCCTCAGAGAATTACAGGTTCCTGGGAAACACACTGAAACTTTCACTTGTGACTCTCCCTTCCTCTCCACAGCAGGGATCCAGCCTTGCTTAAGGAAGAAGGGGACACCCAAAGCCATCCGAGTGCAGTGAAGTTTCCAGAAGTATTTGTGCAAACAAAATTTGCCACACTGAAAAGCAAGGCTATCTGATAAATCCTGACTAAACCTGCAAGTGACTGAGGACCCTGATAACAATAGCTACTAATCTGTAAAAAATTTCCTAAGGCAGTGGAAGTAGCATCCTTCTGTGGTAGTTCAGAGGAGGAACAGCATGAAGGTGACACTGTCAGCATCAGGGTCATGTGCAAATGCCCTAACCACCCCCAAGCTGTAGATTTTTTTTATTTTGCCTTAGATTGCAAGGAAGCTAATGCCACTTCAGTTATTGCTGCTGTTTCTGTCTTAAAGGCTGCCTAATATGACTACTTGGTACAAAAACATACAATACCTTTATTGTGTAGTTGAAGTGCTTTGCAGTTTGCATGAAACGGTGAAAGCCGTCAGTTTCTTTAGTTGCTACAGTAAAAACTAGGAGTTTATCTGAGGGAGAAGAAGGAACATGCATTAATAGGCTTTCAGGACAGTTTATAACAAAAAATGCACTGAGCAGCACTGGATCAGTGAGGCTTTATGACTTGCCTGCATCTAACCCAAAGAGAAGAGATAAATACTGTCATCATCAAAGTGTGAGATCTCATCAAACCACAATTGCTACTAACAAAGGTGCTGTATTTAAAACTATCAAAGCAAAGAAATCTGTCTACTCTGTAAACAACTAGCTGAAGACACAAAAACAAAGCTAGTATGACTACTGAACAGGAGGGAATCTTCAAAACAAAAATAACTTACTACTTTTCAGTCTGAGCTAATCCTTTGACCTCTTATCATAGGAGTGAATAGTATGAGAGAACTTCACCCAACCTCCGTAAAACCCCTGAAGTAGTTCATACTCTTCATGAAAACAGGATAAAAAATACCAACCATGGAAACAACTGCCCCAACAGGCTGCATTCAGTGCTTTTTAGTCCTTGGGCAAACGACCAATGGTTTTGGTATTTTTATTCAGTCTCAGTAAATTATAGCAGTGCTAATTTTGTTCTCTTATTGCATGCAGGCAAATGGCTGTGCAACCAATTTCCTTTTCATATCCCAGGGCTTCTGACATAGTTCATATGAGGCCATGAATTCACACTAAACAGGCTCCTGATTAAACTATTGAACAACATTCAGCCCCCTATCCAATATGGTGCATAATCAAGGTACATCATTCAAAGGTATGATAAAGACAGTACCCCTAACAAACATAAAGTATTTAAATCAGACCAGCCTGGAGCTCATCCCAGAGCACACCGCAGCTCCCCAGTTTGAGCTGAGTTCAAGCAACAGTTGCCCTCTAAACACAGCCCATGAGATCAATTCTTATACAAAAGTAAAATTCATTGCCTCTAATGGACATTCCAGACACAGTGTCTGTTGTTGCTTCACTTCAAAACATCCTCTGGGTTCATCTTCACCAGCACAGTAACACATGCTAGAAGAGGCTGCTGTGACAAACATTCCTATTAACCCTTCAGTCTTGTCTACCACCAGACTTAGCAGCCCTCAGATACCTGAGATATCATCCAGAGCATGTTCAAATCAGTCACCACTTGCTATTTCATTGTATTGGACATCAGCAAAATTAACATCCAAGGTGATACCTGCTTCCCACTTTGCAGAAGAAATTCCCCTTGCAAGTTACTCATGCTATGCTCTGCAGCCAAGTATCAGGGTACTTCCAGTGTACCTTTGCTCAATTAAGCAAAAACACCTGTAGCACACACATGGTTTGCAGAGCAACATAAAAAACACTTGTTCTAATGAAATTCAAGTCTGGCTAAAATAATCACAGCAGAGAAACTACGAAGACTAGTCTCAGAAGACACTGATATTTTTTTCCACTGAAATAATACTTAGGATTCAGCCCTAGAAAACAGGTCACTTTCAACAACACACTTATCAGGTCAGAGTGGTCTGGCCAGTGCATACACGAGGAAGAGCAAAAAGAAGATAAGCATTTATGGTGCTTTCTCTGTTTTTTCTATCAGTCTCATTTTACAGGTTTTCCTGACCTGGATGGTCCAAAACACCCAGTCCACTTTGTGACCTTGCTCTTACCTAGTCACTCCGTCAGCAGAGGTACCTTTCAGCAGTGGCTGCATCATGTGCCCAGTACCATAAAAAACTCCATGAAAAACAATCTTCTGTGCCTTGTGAAGGCCCCTACATTTTTAATCTGACACTGTCCAAGTTTTTCAGCTACAGACATCTCTACCTACCCTCTCCATCATGCACAATTTTGCGGATCTCACATCCCCACGTCCTGCCACAACTTTTTTTGTGCAGAAAGAAGAAACTGGACAGACTTGAAATGCTTCAGTCAACTAAACTTGAGCACCCAAAGATTTTGAAAAAACAGTTTCAGAAGTTTAATTGCTCCACTTTTTTCTCACTTAAGTGCTAGCAGTCTTCTGTAGGTAAGAATCAGAAGAAAAACCTATGAGCACATCTCAGAAGGGCAGGAGGACCTCCAGAGAGGATTCCAGTCCAATGGGTTCACAGACACACTGACTCACAGATTGACATAAACACAGCAATAATAGGTCAGTATCTTCAAAATCATTTAATCTAAAGGTCATGCAACCTAAAGTAATTCTACAGGAATCACTACAGAACAAATAAAGAACGTGGTATCTTAGACTATGACTAAAACAGAACTGAAGACAAAGAATAGGATTTTTTTCTATGGAACATATTATGCTAGGATTAATTTTTTTGTTCAAGTGCTGCATTTTCAAATTAGAGGAAGCTGGAAAAATCTTATCATACAAGAAAGACTGCATCACCAGGCCAAGTGAATCCATTATCGAAAGTTTCCCAGATGACTGGTCAATCACTGACTGTAAATGTGGAATTTGGTTTGGGACAGACATATTTCACACCTACTCCTTCCTGCAGAATGGTAACAGCATGATTTCATAAAACTGTACTTAACAAAATGATGTAAATGACAAAATGTGGGCTGCATCACATTCTTTCCACAGTCAGAGTGAAAGAACTACATCAACATACAAGCACAATTTGGCAAGCAAAAGAAAATTGTCTTTTACAGGCTATTGCTCCTCTCTTTTAATGGGACCCATGGTAATTCCATCTACACATTGTTCATGTATTTCAAGATTCACTATGGAGTCTACTGTGTTACTTAAGTTTTTTGGAATAGGAGGAAAAAGCATGATGTGCCAAATCATAAGGGATTTCAATCTGAGCCATAAAAAAAATAGAGAAAGCTGGCCAGACAAATAACGCAACTTACATTGACATGAAACTGCAAAAGAAAGTGAATTACACTCACAGCCGCTGAAGCAATCTAAGTAGCCTGCCTTCATCAGGCTTTCAAACAGTCACAGAACAAACAGGAAGATATCTTTGTAAAGGTATCATTCACATTGGAAAAGTTTTATTTTTACCACACTTGTCAATGGTCAGGGTTTTTTTTAATTAAAAATGAACAAGTTTAAAAGGCTTTATTTCCAAGTCTCTGCTGTACCACAGAATTTTAGATGCATATGGTATTTAATGTTTAAGTGCAGAAGTGTAATTATAGAATTTAAATTCTATTTAGAATATGAGCCTCTATACAGACTGTTTTGTCATGTTTTTTGCGTGTTCTTTGGGGGACAGAGGGTTTAATTTGTTTTGGTTTGTTGGTTTTGAGAGGCTTTATTTTAAAGTAATCTGTGTCTGACCAATGGGCAAAGAAACATGCTTGTATCCTGCCTGTAGCGTGTATAGAGAGAGAATGGAAAGTGCATTAAATTATAGTTACCTTGGTTTATTATAGGGGGCATTATTAAGCAGCACTGTTCTCATCTAGCTAATAAGACCTTACAAAAATACTAATGTAATTCCTGCAGGCATCTGTGACTTTATTTAGATGTGACAACTTGTACCAGTTTTACTGGCAGAGTTTCACTACTTGTAACATGGGAAATATTTGTTTCTTCCTGTGAGAGTGAAGTGAATGCTTCCAACCACCAAAGACATCTTCTAACTTCTTTTGAACTGTATTCACTTTAAAAAATCCATTCCTTGTTTGCCACATTTAGGTACAACGACCCCTTTGAGCACCTGTCCCATTTGTTCCTAGTAACAAATCAAAAATTACTTTCATGAACATACAGGAGTGTAAACATGCAAGTACAACACTGATCCCAGGGGAGTACGTTCATCCAAGTGCTGTTTCCATTTCAGGATGTGCTCAGCTACATTTATTTTTGCTCTGCAGTAACCCAAAGTGATCCTGCTGTGCATAGCAGGTGTGGTGCCAGGAAGGGCACTGCTGGCTGGTTCAGTGCAGCACCAGAGCCCTTACCACAGGCTGAGCCACATGCAAACATTGCTCTGAGAGGTTGAGCGACTGGTCCAGAGTCCCCAGCAGCATGGCTGTGCCAGCTCCGGGGCTCCAGCTGTGCAATGAAGACCTCAGCCTAGCAGCAAAATGCTGCCTGCAATTACTCAGACACCAAGTTCCCACTGCGGCCTGGTGGGAGCTGGGCTCCCCAGTGAGCGAGCCACAAAATTCCCAGTCTTCACAAATATCCCATGATGAATTCTAACTGTAGATAGACATCGTTCCTGCTTCACCACCCACTTTGGCATAATGCCCTGCCTTGCCCTCCATCCAGGTTTCTACTCCAAGGGACTCTACTGTATGGTCTTACATGTAGATTTGAGCTATCCACTTTCTTAAGTCTGACTATTCCCCTCACATGAGGGGACAAGTACACACTCTCAGTAGTATTTTCCAACAACCAGTAATTGCATCCTAAAAGTGCAACCATATATGAAACCAAGAACACAGCAGGCAGCCCTAGCCCTACATGCTTGCAGGGTACTGGGATGCCGCAGAGGGCGCAGGCTGCCCAGCAGGGCTGGGCTCCCCAGCACGCAGCCTGCCAGAGGCATCTTGGCAGTCACTTGAGGGGATTACCAATTTTGGCATTTACTTCCACAAGTAAAGTCAGCTTGTGCAAAAAGGAAATGCAAACCCTATAATGAAGTTCAACAGGAAGGCATAGAAAAAAAATCTGACGAGCGTCATGCCAGACATGAGGGTGCTGAAGTTACTAGGGTGTAATTATTCCAGACAGCTTTCTGATAGTTACATTCATAAAACAGCTGTTCTGTTTTGAAAATAAGCCTGAGACACCACACTTTTGGCCAAGAAAAGTATATCCAGTGACAAACAGTATTCGTTTTTACATGCAAATTAGGAAAACCTTGAGCACTCAAGTTGTGAAAGACAACACTGCATATAGAGCACACACAAGGTATTAGGAAATCTAATGAAAATTTACAAAAACTATAAACCAAGGCCTTTGTCTACAGTGAATTGCCTAGCCAGGTCTCAGCCAGGAAGTGCCATAGAAGGACTGCTTTAAGTAGCCTCTCTCCTTGTACCTTGGCAAAAAAAAGAATGCAAAGAGCTGCAGTCATTCCTTGCACACTCACGTGGTTCTTGTTTATCTTGAATGAACACTGGCAGAGATTACTACATAATTTCTACCAGGGGTTGCGGGCACTGGTACAGCATCTTCAGAGCAGCCAAAACTGAAGAAGATACTGCTCACAGACACATTGGAGCGCACATTTACCCCTTGGAATCAAGTACTGTGGACTTATCTGGAGTAGGAGTAAGCTGTAAGATGAAGGGACATCTCTGCATGGTATCACATTATGCCATTAACATCTATCTGTATCTTTAAGACTAGCGGCTATTGAACACTATTTATGAATAGTATCAATTTACAACTAACCTCCTGCAATTTCTCTAACAAATGAGCTATATTTCTAGACGGTATCATGAAAAATGTAAAATACTCTACAGTATCTTCTGAAACTTACTGACATTCAAAATATTGGCTGATATAAAGCCTGTTGGAAAGTATCTTATTTATAGGCTCAATTGCTGTTTCCTCCATAAAACTGAGCAACATGACAGCCTGAGTTCCCAATTAACTGCAAAACTGTGAAAGAATTTTAAAGAAAATGCAGCATGAAGTTTAAGCGCACAATAGTAAATAAAGCATTAAAAAAACCTGGAATGGCTCATTGAGCTACATAATACTGTACAGAGCAAATACAGTCATAATAACCAACTCTCTTCCCACACAGCTTTTATGACTTTATTAAAAGCAATTCCTCCATATGCTTCTGAGCCATGTTGAACTTCTGCAGATAGCTAGAGGGTCACTGATGGCATCAACAGCTACTTCCCTTCCCTATTCATATGGACTCAGACCATATGTTCAAAACCCAAAGAACTGTTAAGCCAATGATCAAAGGACACTTTAAAAATCCAGATTTTTAGCAAAACACACTCATCTACTTATCACTCAAGAAGACAACATTAGACTCAAAAGAAAAAAAAAAAAAAAGAATTCCCAATAAATAGGAGTTATAGCCTAAACTTAAGATTCTACATAAAATTAAATTTTTGAAAATCCACATACTCTGAAGAGATGTCAAACAGCTGGAGACAGGAGAAACCCATCATATGCAATGTAATCATGATTACAAGTTATACCTACAAACATACAGTTGGCTAATGTAATCCAGCAGCAAACAAGATTTTATCTTAAGAAGACAATGTGAAAAAAACAAACTTCAAACATATGTAAGTACTCAGTGTCAGTTTATATGACATGCATATGGTCAAAGAAAGTAGTAATCCAATAGAAGAATTTCTGGTCAAAAAAACCTTTCAGCAGAAAGAAATAAAAGACAGAGCCATCCAACAGCAGCTTATTTCACCCCTGGATTCTTTAGAAACATGACAATGTAACAGTAATTACACAGAAATAGTAACCACGGTCATCTTTTCTCAGGAAAGAAATGTGCATTACAGTCCAGGAGGGGGAAAGATGACTGGTGCATAAACAATACTACTTCATATTTGGAAGTTCTAGGGGGTTTTTTATCTGATCTTTGTATTATACAGTCAACTTCAGTTCCACACAGAAGACTTCCTTACATGCCTCCACGCCTCCCATAGTATAGTGCTTCCCAATGAGGCAGACTGATTTCAAAGCCCCATTAACGGTAGCCGTGATCACCTTGTAAGACTGGATCCTCTGCAATTTAATAGCATGGTTGAATTGCTGTTAAAAACATGCTTGAAGGGGAGACAAAATAAGCTTGAAAAATTCATTAAAGATTAGATAGTTATAAGATTTAAAATATGGCATTAGAATTAACAGATGGCAAGATAAGAGCAGTCATGGGTTGCCAAACAGTACACACCAACTTCCTATACCAATACATAAACTTGTGAGAGAGAGATGGAGTTTAAGAACCAATACTTCAATAAAATCTAAAAGAGCAGACTTGGAAGAAGCAGACCTTCCTGTACAGACCTCTTCTGAAAGTTTGGTCTGTTTTCCTCTGTATCACAAACCTCCTGGTTAATCACTGCATGTCAGTATAATGTCTTACTGCAAAACACCAAGAGCAACATAAGCATAATTTACATATTTTTCCAAAAAGTAAGAGATTCTTCTTGGCTAGTTATCAGCAGACTTGCATCTTCTCCACTTCAAACTAGATGTATAAAATTAAAGTAACATAAGTAAAAGTCTGGTTTTTTAGTTTGGTTTATAAGCATAGTTACTGTAGAACTAATGTAGGTACACAGGTATCACCTCTGTTACCACCTGATCCTCAAAATGGTTCAACCTGCCCCCTCCAAAAAAAATACCTGCCTTTACTTGTTGCAAACAGTTCATGACAACAACTGACATTTATAGTTATCACTCAATACATGGACTTTCTGCAGATAATCCTTTCTGTGCTCCTCCAGGGTTGTTTGTAGACCTTGCTGATATTACAGAGCAGGAGCTATTGGTATCAGAACTCCCAACTCTATCCTGAGCCAAGGAACAGAACTAGTAGAGGCAGGAAGTTTTCAGAAGCTGTCTAGGGGAAGAAACATACAGTCTAATTTCCCAGTTTCAGTTACTTTTTAATAGCTGGTACTGTTGCAACGTCCTCAGTCACAGTAAACTGCCTGTTACAAGGTTCTCCCTCTTCCCATGTCTTAGAAGAAATGCATTCTTATATTAAGCAAGAGGTGCTCTGAATTTTCTCATACTATAGAACATATGCTAGATTAGCACTTGCTAAGACAGAGCCCCTGGACAGGACACTAAAGTTTTAATTTTTTCCCTCTTTTCTACTAACTGAATTTAAACTCAAGTTTTCAACACTTAGAGATTTATTCGAGTCCCATTATTGTTAAAATACATTGGCAATCTAAATCCATTTATGAAGGGGTGAACAGTGCTGTAACAACTGTGCATTTCAGAATCTAAAGTTTGTTATGAAAACGTTGAAGTTTTCTCATGCCAAGAAATTCTCCCATGTATTAACTCACAGCCCACAGAGATGTGAACAGGCATTTCCCGCTTCCATGCATAGACTCAAACAGCAAGCCTGCTGACTGCTGCTTACTGCCTGTCTTTTATCATGTCACTTGCAATGTCACATAGATACAGCACCTAATATCAACTGCTGAATAAACCAGTCCTAAAAAAAATAAAATAACACCCACAGGCTACATTGCTGTAACCATCTTTCTGTACATGGATATATACGCACACATAATTGTAAATAAAGATTAGCAGTTACTCCCAATATTAATACACAAGTGATTTCAGAAAACATTTGAAAGCTTATTCTGTCTCAGTTCTTAATTTACTTCCTGTTAACTTAGTAGTATTGAATACACAGTCAACAAGAGCTCATTAAGACCTGTATGTGCACTCATCAATCACACAACCCGTCCGGGTGAAGTGCTGGCCCGTGCTCAGGCTCGCGCTCATTCTAACGCAAGGCTTCCTTGCTTTGATAGCTGAACAAAACCAGATACCAGCAGCAGTAGTCAAAGAGTTTTTCCATCAGCTTCAGAGGACTTGGATAAGACCTTGTTTACTGAATCAGTTATTCTGTAGTAAAGCAAAGATAAGACACGTTCCTTAGTTCCCAGATACAAAAAAAATTGAAATCAGCTGCTTGCAAATGACATCATTGCCATGCATGAAGCAACTGCTCCAACAAGAGCTGCCTAACTTCCTGACAAGCAGGGAACAGATCAGGTTACAGCTGTTTATTAGTGCCCAGATAGCTATCAAACCACAAAAATCTTCTTGAGGGTGGGAGTGGATGGAGTCATGGCACAGGCTGGGTGGATGGCCCTGCTATAAACTGTCATCAGGGCTGTGCAGCTGAGAGCAGGACACAATTAACATCAGCTGTCTAAGTGAGAAAGTTTACTCAGCTTCTGCCTTCTCGTAGCCTTGCCCTCTCTGTCTCTCTCATAAATATGTATCAAGAGAAGAGCATGCTTCTTCTTAAGCTGTTGTTTAGTAAATCCAGCTGTCTAAACAGAAGCAGTCACACACAGCACCAGGAACTGTTAAAGTCCATTTTCCAACAGCTAATCAATTAATCAATGAAACCTAGTAGTCAAAATTTGCAATACTAGGCTAGCCTTTGCTTAAAAATAAATAAATAAAATTAAAAAGGAATTGTAGCTGGAACTGAAGCCATTCTGAAGACATGCAAGTCCCTCATGCCTGCACCATGCCTGGTTCTTGTCGGCAGATGCTACCACCCTGATTAGTCAGTTCATTTGAAAAAGCTGCCCTAGAGCTTCACATCTGGCCCTATGTCCAGATACTGAATGTGTAAAATTCTCCAAACAGAAACACAGGCCATGCAAGCCTGGAAAGAGGAAAAAAACATACTTTTCAAAGATCCCTCTTCTGTATGAACAAGCAACTTAAACTCCACATATGTGAGACGCAGGTAGTGCCCAACCTTGAACAATTCAGTCCTTAAAAACCATGAAACAGCCAAAAACATTCTGCCCTATTTCTGACACAAGACACCGTTATATGTCAGGTATGAGGGAGATTTTAAAATGCTTTTGACATCAAAGACTTGACCCAGCAACTTCAGTTACTAAGTTTATGGGACTGGTTCTGATCTAACATGGGTACAATTGTTTCACGGTGACGTAAATTAGAATCAGTAAACTGCCTGCAAGGATAGCCTCAGGAAACACTTTGTTTTATTAAAGCTTCATGTGAACAACAAAGCTAAAAAAATCCTTTTTTACTTTTTTGGAAAAAAAAAAAAAAGGTAAAAAAAATTGCAAAAGCAATTCTATCAGATAGTGGTTATTATCTGCACAGCTGATGTCAGCGAGAACCAAGAACCCCTAATGGGCTCATTTGGGACATTAACACTTAAATCCACAGGTACTGAATTAATTATCAGAGAAATGGCACTAAATGCCAAACCTATTTTTGTTTACAATTTTTGGTCTTTTTTCCTTGCAGTTTGTTCACATTAATTACAAATACTGTATATGTCAGCTTTAAAAACATACTGGCAGTTAGACTGCAAGAAACCCAGCCCTCATTCCCCCCCAGCCC